GAACGATACTGATTCTTAAATCCCAAAAATCGATTAGTCTAGCCTGTGTTCAGTTAATGGATGGAACATTGAAGGGCACCTCCCATCCAATATATCGCAATAAGCATTGTGCTTTGGTACTTTTAATATGAAACAAAGTCTCAGATTTTAAATTCTGTCCATTGTATTGCAGTATTCAAACAATAAATGCCATTTTGGTGCTTTTTAATGTGGAGTGACAGATCGCTGTAGCGCCTCAGATCAACAGACGCAGCAGCGCGAGGCGCACATGAGCTGATCATCTCCTCCACATTAATACCAGCTTCAGCACAAAATAAACATGACTAAACATCCGAAGGTAAAATATATGCAGCATATAACATCTTCATTATAATTTCTACTGTTCTTCAATGTTTATTTTAGGTTTGAATAAATCCATCAAATTTTATGACAGCCACCATTTAAATATTTATAGCCTATATTAAAAAAAACGAATTGAAGTTGAAATATTATTATGTAATTATAACTCTATTATTTTAAAAACTTAATTAAGTGTAATTTTAGCAGATGTGTAGCCTACATATCAGTTTTAACCTTCAATATTATAGTAATGTAGCTATTACTAACTGACTCTCATGTATATTTTACTGCATTAGTTGAGAGATTTTTTTTCCTTGAGAATATTTGGCATGTAGCCTACTGTAATTGATATATATATCCAAAATAATCGAATATTGAGTCGAATCTAGTCGAATTGGTAATCGAATCGAAAGCTTGTGAATGAGAATCTAATCGTGAAATTTGTGTCAAAACCCAGCCCTAGTTGCTATGATGTTCTGGGGGGTTTCTAGGGTGCTTAAAGCAGTTGCTAGGTTGTATTGTGTGGTTTCTAAGGTATTCTATGTAGTTGCTAAGTGTTTGGTAGGGGGTTGCTAGGGTGGTTTAAATGGTTGGCACTGCAATACTACAGCACTGATTGTTCTGTTGGTTTCCTGGGCATTCTGAGTGGTTCTTAGTTGGTTGTTACAGCATTTATGTGGTTTCTTACTGGTTTACATCAGAATAACTCGCTATCAAGTCTTTAGATATGACCCAGGTCTTTCTTTCAATGTAAATCTGACTTTTTTCCCCCAGAAAGTCCAGTCACTAGAAAATGAACAGTGCATTTCTCATCTCTTTTTGTAAAAACCCAAGTATGAGCAACATTAGTAGTAGTAAAGCTTCCCTTAGCAAACTCCTCTCATTATTATATAGACTTGAGGCAGCCTTATGAAAATGCGGTCTAATTATCATGAGGGCTTTTTATTTGATTGCCCCATTAAATCCAGGCAGCATGCAATTTTTCCGTTGTTTCTCTGAATAGAGTTGCTTATTACAGGATGACCGAAGCGCCGCAGAGCAGCAGAAATACAAACAATAGCGCAAACAATAAGCGTCCCCAAGGCGAAACTCGCCTCTCTTCATAAAATGTACTTTTTTGCTATTTTCAGATCCGCAGAGAGGCAAGTAAAACAAATGAGCGTTGTCTACCTACTAACAATTGTACATGGTGTAACCTTCAGCGCTGACATCATAAATCCTAGATGCTGCGATTCTCGACAGAATTATACAGAAGTTAGTTGTGCATAATCTGACTGCAGCTGCATGCTGTTTATCTGTCACGCTTAGGGACTGAATGCATCATCAGACTAATTTCAGTCATTAACATTATTCAAATGATTAACCACTTAATTGAATTAATAGCTGCGGTCTATTCAGTAACAATCGGAAAGTTTCACACTCAGATCAGACTCACCATTTCAATCTCTGGAGACTATTTACTATTTATGATCTCTATTCCAACCCAATGAGGATCAAGGTGAAATCTGAATGACCAGCAGGGAAATACCTTCTTTTAATAAAGGACTCTGCATGTCATGATGCTACTTATATGCATATTATTTTCTCATTTATTTCTGTGCTGCTTGATTTAATAAACCAATAAGCCTCCGCTTCACGTTATGCATAACAACACGTCTTAAACATGCATCCTCGAGTGTCTTATTGCTTCTATCAAATGACAACAGCTATATGCGTCTTAACTTAACTGTAGATTTGTTGATGCATTTATTGATCAGAACAGGTTTGGAGAAATGTAGCATTCCATCACTTGCTCACCAGTGGATCCTCTGCAGTGAATGGGTGCCGTCAGAATGAGAGTCCAAACAGCTGATAAAAACTTCACAAACATCTTGTGAAGTGAAAAGTTGCATGTTTGTAAGAAACAAATCCATCATTAAGACGTTTTGCTTCTGGGTGAAATATGAATCCATTCACTGCAGAGGATCCATTGGTGAGCAAGTGACGTAATGCAAAATTTTTCCAAATCTGTTCCGATGAAGAAACAAACTCATCTACATCTTGGAAGGACATTTTCAGCTAATTTTCATTTTTGGGTGAACCATTCCTTTAATATAGAATAACAAGTGCACATGACTGATTTTAGATTATTCTTTTACTTTTTTTTTTAATCATAAATTGAAGCTTTTTGTGCGAATCTCTTTTATGTTTTGTCATTTTCACACGGTTATGTCAGTCAAGAGCAAGTTTTTTTATTTTTTATTCAGCAGCTGTATGACCTGAAATTACATTTTTATCGTCATTCCTCACCTTCAATTGTTGCTCTAGGTGGCAAGCGGATCCTTAAATCTTTTGTTCATCATGCTGGCTACAACAGCTGAATTGAATAGACGCTACATTTATCCCACATACAGCAGCCACACACCTCATAAAGCCCTCAGTGACACATACACAACCCCAGCGCCCTCAGCGATACGCCTGTACATCGCTCTTCTTCACTCTTGTATGCTCGTTCGCTTTAAGCAGGCTGGTTATCTGAAGTTCCCTCCTGAAACACTGCAGCAATTTCCCCTTGATTATTCGGCCTTGCTTGATTGCTTATTCTTTCAGAAAGTATTTTGCTCCTTAGCTTGAGGTGACCCTGAATTAATCATTTATGTGAGTATGGTGATTGTTGTTACCATGTTCTTCTCATTGCCCTCAGTGTTTGGAATGAATATGAATTTTCTAGCTCTATGCTCTAATCTCGTCTTTATTTTTGTCCCTGTTTTTGTATCTCCTTTTTTAGGACATATAATATTTTTATGAGAAACATCTGAGACATATAAGATAAGAAAATGTGATTGGTGTTTGACTGCAAAATTTGTCACCGTGATCCTTGGGTGTTGTGGATGGTTGCTAGGGAATGGTAGGTCCATTCATTTCAGTAGTTTAAATGGGCCGTATTGTACTCCTTTCCAGCATTTTCCTTTTTTTTTATCTTTAGAATTAAAGTTGTCTTGTTATATCTGTTTTGATTGCTTACCATCTGTATACTGTACTGTTACTGGTCACATTGCCGCTCATCGTGGGTCAAGTTGCTTGCTGTTGATATGTAAATGTGGGTGGTTGTTTGTGACGTCAATTAATGACCCGTTTTGCTTAGTTTTACATAAACCGTCTGAAGAAAGAGTACTGCGTTATCAATGTGATTATGTCTGCACAGCATATTAAAGTATTTTATTTGAAAAGAGCAAAATAATTCTTGTTTTCCAAGATATGACCCTTTTAAAACACTTCTGCTCTCAAGGGTTAGAGCAGATGCTGAGGTTTGAAAAGTACTCATGAATTTTACATTAGTATTCATTGCACTGATCCATTAGGCCCCAAAGGATCTTACAGCAATATTACAGTATATTTAAATGATTGGTGATTGTTTAAGTTATCAATACAAGCATAGCACAGTTGCACAGTAATATTGACACGGGAAATGTTTGTTGCTTTATCAGAATAGCCTGCAATCGCTCAGCTCTGTTACACCGGCTTATTTTATGCAATTAAAATGTTAATGCGAACTTTGCAGAATCGCTGTAGGGTGGTACGGTATCTCTTATTCCAGCTGACAGTTACTCCGAGTCTGTTGGGCTTCTTTAGTTTGTCGCCTCACATGTCTAAAAATATAACCCAACTGTGAGGGCTTAGACAAAGTTATTGCTCCAAACACAGAGCCAACAACCTGCTGACGGCACTTGTTGTAGTCATCTCTCTGAGGGGTTGACTGGGATTACAGCTGTGCATCCTGGGACATACGGCGTTATGTATCGAGAGCGACGCTTGTGACTGTAATTCACAGAGTTTTGGAGCCAATCCTGAGCTAATGGAAAAAGAATCAAGTGTGCTTTTTGTCTGACATGGAGGTCGTCAGGTTGTTTGTTGGAAATGTGTAAAAAAAAAAGTATTGCAGGCTTATTTGGGAGCAGAAATTATACCATTTTAGAAATGGGTGCTAGAGATTTAATGGATCTTAAATGGCTGGAAAGAGCCATTAGAAGATATTTGTAAAGAATAATGGAGGAAATGGGTGCAGAGCAAACTTGTGTGTAGCTCATCCTGCTGTGTTTGTGCTGTAGACATGAATGATTCCTCAAATCATGAGGGGTGTAAATAGGACGTTTCGGCATGATACGGTCTGACATTTATTCCAAGCGAAACAGTATTTGCTGATACCTCAAAACATGCTGTGATACGATTGCAAGATTCAGGGGCTGTGATCGATATACTGATATTGTGATATTCTGGGCCTATTTTATACAACCAGTCACTTTTTTTTTATTAACTTACAAATGCAACCAAAATATAATGTGAACATTTAATTGAATGCTTTGAAAAGTGCAAATCCTGTATCCCAGTTTGGACTTCCACAACAAAAAATACACTTACATTTCTTAAATTTGGATGGAATATTGCAGTGTTTACTAATGATTTATCCGTACACAAATTAACCAAATTAAATCATGCACTACATTTTTTCTTGTTGTAGAAGCCTTTTCACGTGGATATACATCACAATAGGGAAGAAGAGATGATCACAACTTCCTTTTCATACTGACTTTAATATGGAAAAATAAAGTCATCAAAATAAATCAAGTTGCCAATGAGATCATCAGTCGGCTGATGACAGCACATCTTTGGTTTGTAAATTAGTGTTCCTGGCTCAGTGGTAGAGCATTGCGTTAGCAGCGCAGAAGGTCGTGGGTTCAATTCCCAGGGAACACATACTGGTAAAAAATGTATAGCCTTTATGCTTTGGATAAAAGCGTCTGCTAAATGCTTAAATTATTTATTTAATTATAATTATAAAATGAGATGTGGCTTCTAAATTGTGCAAATCTACATTAGAATGTACACAACAAAATGAGGTACTCCAGTTAAAAATAAATATATATAAAATAAAATATAAAAAAGATTGTTAAAACTAAGTGCACTAAGTGATTTAATTACTTACCAATTAATATCAAATTAATGAGATTAATTAATTAACATGCACATCATGTGCCGATTAAAGATAAAATTGTTATTAAAGATAATAGTTATCATTGTGTTCATTTAGAAAAAAAAAACACTGAATAGACATTACAGAAAAGTAGCTGAAATATAAGTTGCTTTAGATAGAAATATTTTAATTCAACATACAAAAATATAAATAAATAGTGAAATATTAAATTATATAAAAAAAACATACTCTATATACAACTAAAAGCGCCAGTAGGTGGTGGCAAATACCTGTCTTAAGTCAGTGAGTCATTCAATCATTCATTCAATAGATTCGTTCAAATGGCTGATTCATTCAGAAATGAAGCAAGTGACTGCCTTTATGAATGGTTCACTGAATCATTGATTCACTCGATTCGTTTAAAAACGTAGATTCATTAATAAAACACCGCTGTGTGTTGATCAAAGATGCACAACAGTTCTCCTAGGGCTTTATTTTCATTAGTGAAATTACAGACAATGTGTCTAAAATTTAATTATTCACACCTTTACCTTATCTTCATTTTTACGTAAAAACTGTTATGTAACCTATTTTTCTATTTCTACCAGCCAATGATGATTCTGAAAGAAAACACGCAGTGTTTGTTATAGTAGCCTAACACATGCAGCTTTCACGTGCATCTGACATAACCGCTGTATTGCTGTTAATGGTTATTTTAGCAAATTTTTTGCTCCGTAAATTCAGTTCAACAGCATTAATTTGAAGAGGGTAAACTTTATCACTCGACTGAATCTGCACATGCATTTTAGGTGTTCTTGCTCCGTCCAAGCAATAAATGCACGTCTTTGAATGAGCGCTGTAGCGTATTCTTCAACCGCTCTGGTACTGTCAATACGACCCATTTCAGGGGCTGCCAAAATTATATTTTTAAAATCAGCCAGGGCTATAGAAATGCATATTAATATTTACAAGTAAATCTCCATATTATGCGTAGGCTAGCCGTCTTTCTATCTGACCCCCCCTACATATAGTTTTGACATCCATCAGGGGGGATCAAGCCTTCTTTAGGGGGGTCAGACCCCCCCCCCCCCCCAAATTTCCCCCCCCCTACAAATCATTGTTTTGTTGATCATCTTAGCAACCACTCACAACAACCTAGTATCAAATAGATTTTTTCTTGCTATGCAAATATTCCCTGCAATAATTACACTGGTCTAAATCAATACAGACACAAGCCGGTTTGTTATGACATTCTTTCATTGAATAATATCTCTCTTTTCTCTTCTTAAGTCAAGTCAAGTCACCTTTATTTATATAGCGCTTTTAACAATACAGATTGTGTCAAAGCAACTGAACAGCATTAATTAGGAAAATAGTGTGTCAATAATGCAAAATGACAATCGTAAACACTCATTTTTCAGTTAAAGGCAATTCATCATTGAATTCAGTGATGTCATCATCCAGCTCAGTTCAGTTTAAATAGTATCTTTGCAATCATTTGTAATCAAGTCAACGATATCGCTGGCAATGAAGTGTCCCCAACTAAGCAAGCCAGAGGCGACAGCGGCAAGGAACCAAAACTCCATCGGTGACAGAATGGAGAAAAAACCTTGGGAGAAACCAGGCTCAGTCGGGGGG